TTAACTTTGTCGTCCCCCCCCCCCCCCGCCATCTGTATAACTCAGGGAGATTTGAAACCAAGATGAACAAAGTACCAGCAGCTATTCTACCTAACTCCAAGGTAAATTTTAGGCAGTGGAAAGAATTATGCTAACTGGGATCTGATAACACAGCAGGTATATGAAATAATGCAATGCATAAAGAGCACTTTTTACCTACTATTTGATGCTCAAAGGTGTTGTGATACAGTTTAGGTAATCACTAAAGCACAGTTTAATCTTTCGGGTAAACCTTTTCCAGCCATGGTTGATTATGTTCACATGTCCTTCTCTGTAGAAGAAATTTATCCATGTATTCTTGATATTTGGGTGCCGTGTCCATACAGATTGTACTCTGTTATCTGCTCACAGGGTTCTCCTTTCACAGAGATTAGCTGTGGCAGTGTGTGCTGCTTTGGAAATCATGAAACAACATCCTCTGGGATCTTGAAATGTTCCATAGCAGAAAGACACCACAGTGTAGTTTTCCTTTGTGGTCACAGGATGGAGGGCTTCTTCTCTCAGGCATTGCTTGAGCTCTGGGGCTTAAGGTTAGGGGTCCCGAACCCAGGCTAAAAAAATCCAGATGTCCATTAAGGTGACAGCAAAGGTCTAGGGTTTTTTGTATGTCTTTGTTGCCATCTAGTGGTGGTCTGGATCTTTACAGTCTAGATTTGGCTATTTGAGGTAGGTGTCCCAAACTGAAATTCCTGAAAGTACTTCAGAGATCCTGACAAGACCTATACATCTGAAACATGCCATATAAACCACAAGTAAGAAATCTGTATATCTTAGTGATTAAGATTATTAACACCTCTGTATTTATAACCATGTACTGACTCTCAAAAAGCACCCAATGCCACCATACATTGGCTGACTTTAGACTATGCTATGTTATACTTTTACCATGGTTTATTGAATAAACAGATAGCTGGGCTTTCAGCCTTAAGCCATGTTTTAGAAATAAGACTGGCTTAATGAGTTGCGTGTACCAAGACAACTGGGGGGAAAAGCTGGTTTGGGCTTAGAGGAAGACTCTGCTTACAATGGTAAACACGGCTTTAGCTCCAGTTACTGATGTCTTGTTTTGCTGGATCTCCATGAGTGGGGCAGGGATAGGGGTGGACAAGGGCACTCACGTAACTATGTTCTTATTTCTAATTCTGATGGAAACTATGGGAGAGTTTGAAATGAATTTTCCTGACCTTCCATATCATCCCTTTCCTAGATTATGTGCAAGTTGGGGCTCATTCCTCTTCAACGTCTTGCTGTCTTGGTCATTGTTGTTTATCTTCTTCTATCTTGAGTAATGTGATAGTCAGACTGAAAGTCTAACTATCTTCCCCCACCCTTATTTGACCATAGAATTATTCAAACTTTTAAAACAACCAAGAAAAATTTCATCCCTCCTTTGGTAACAGTCAAACAGTGAGCCTGTATTTGTGCAGAATGTGGTCTTTCGCTAGGTATAGGCAGAAGCTAACTTTTATTAAAAATGTCCCCGCTGGAGTGAGACTTTTAAAGCTCAGGGAAGCAGATGACTAGTGAAGAAGGTTATCAGCTAACCAGAAAACAGTTTGACCTGTCCATGTATCTTTAATGCTAGCTTGATTTGCGGGCAGCAGTTGTAAGACTTTTCATGGCCTCCAACAGCTTTACCTGACCTGGTTCTTTCTGGATGTGTTCAGACTACACCTGCGTTGCTGGCTGGAGATGTTGGGAATGGTAACCCCTGCACATTTGGACAGCACCATATTGGGGAAAGGTGACCTAGAACTAGCAATGGTCATCTGCCTTGTTCCTCCCTTTTCTCTACAACCTCTCCCTTAATCTCTTGCATCTCCCCATAGTGTGAGGTACCTTGTTGTTAGACTGTTTGGGGGCAGGAAGTAATATGCAATATATCACATTTGAAAAAGAGGCAGCTGGGAAGTTTTAACATGCTCCATCTTAGCAGATGAGAAGGGGTAACTGGGTGCTAAGACTCATTCTAGCTCCCATTTTGTTCTGCCTGATCTCAGCCCTGCTTAGGACAAAAAATGTCTTTCCAGGTGAAAGGGAAGTGGAATGGGGGGCTATTCCCAGATATAGGCTTCCTGGTACTCACAGTCAACAGGCATTGCACACCCATGCTATTGTTCCTTTTTAGTGACTTTGCTTCCCTAGGAAGTGAGGGGGAAAATATGGATAGGTAGCAATGTCTAAATGATATAGAAGACTTTATCTAATCTATAGAAGCTATAGACAGTATAAAGTCTTCTATATCGTTTAGAAATTCTGTGAGTGAAGTAGAATGTTCATACAATTAAAGACTCTTCGGGAGGCATCCTAGAAATGAACAAAGTTAGGATAGAGACAGAGCAGGAGGTGGTTGGTGACCTCTAAGGAGAGACCTCTTTTTTGCCCTTGAGGTAGAAGCGTCCATTCATGCACTGTGTGACATGGCTCAAAAGAATTGCATTATACCACAAGCAGTGCTCCCTACTTTTTTTTTATTAACTTACATTTAGTCTTCTATAATACTTTATTAGTGTAATAACAGTTTTACTGCCTCTTCATAAAAGTGAATCATGCTTCCTTCAAGTAATCTCCTTTTGCTTGTAAACAGTCCTTGGGGAGATGGCTTTGTGCCAGATTCCAAAACCATTGCCCTGCTTCATTCTGTGCCTGAATCTGGGAAGCTGCCAAAAAGTTCAGGATTCATTCTGTAGGGGCTTGGAGAGGCAGACGTCTTTTGCATCACCCTGCTTTGTGGTGCCTGTAATGGGAAATCCTAGAGACAGAACCTAAAGTCTTCTGCCTGCAGTGCATGTCTCCTGCTGTTACACTTGGTCGTCTTCACGTTTCTTGAAGCATTATGCACCACGCAATAGATTTTCCCACACAGATCCCACTGAAATGAATGGGAGCTATACAGTTCTCATAATTTTAATAGGGATTGCAAAGGCAAAATCTCAGCGGTATTGCTGGCCGTTGTGTCCACGGCTTCCTGCGTTTAACAGCTTATATTCAGGAGAAAGACGCAGTGTGGTGGTGTGGTTAAGATGCTGGACTAGGAGAGGGAGATCCAGGTTCTAATCTTCCCTGAGGCATTGAAGTCAGCTTGGTGACTTTGGGCCGGCCATGCTCTCCCAGCCCTAGAGTGCAAACTTGAAAAAAAATTACTTTCCAACCCATTTCAGACTAGTGCAGTAGATTATGATCCATTCACCCTTCAACAAAGAGGCCTTCATCCTGCCCTGTATTGATTTGGGCTGAGGCTTTAGCATCATCATATAACTGCTCCATATGTTACACGTGTGCAGAGGAAGCTGGCCTCCTTTTGGCCCTGTTGCCAATTATTGGTTGGCCCAAGACATTTTGTTGCATAAGATGCTACATTAAATAATTCTAGGAGAGCCAAAGAAGCCTAAATGCATATATTTCC